CGTGTGTGTGATTTTTCATCGGCAGGGCAAGCGTATCTGAACACGGACGGGAGCGTGTACCGACACTCAGTGTGCTCGTCGCTGCCCGGCCCAGCCCAGCAACAGCCGCCGGGTGCCCCGCCCCCACAACAGCAGCAGCAGCAGCAGCAGCAGCAGCAGCCCGCTCCCGCACCGCTACCACCCTCCCAGCCATCGCCGCAGCCACAACAAGCACAATTCTATGCAGCAGCAGCAGCAGCGGCAGCGGCGGCGGCTGCTGCTGCTGCTGCACCTGTCATCCCACCCACGCAGCACCAGCAGCAGCAGCAGCAGCAGCAGTAGCAGCAGTAGCAGCAGCAGCGGCGGCGGCGGCGGCGGGTGAGGCCCGACCAAACACGAACCCCGTGACTGAAAGACATGCACCTCACGGACCTCACAAACCAACCTGACACTAGCGGTGGCGGTGCTGACGTAGCTACGTTGTGTTTACCCCGCAGCAGGTAGCGTCCCCTAGTCAGGTGGCTACGAACGGCGGCGGAGCAGTGGTCAGCGGTGGGGAGGTGGCGCCACCGCAGCCGCAGATGCTGACGCCGCCGACGGTCGTGCCGCAGGCCGGACAGTTCATCTGGGCCGTCTCGAACCTGGAGTCGATACCGCCGGGGGCCGTGTTGATCAATCCACAGACAGGTGAGTTAGTTCCACCTAGTACTGTGCTGGTCAACCCACGAAGAGGTGAGTTGGTGCGTGCGTGTGAGCGGGTGCGTTCGTGCGTGCGTGCATGCGTGCGAGAGTGCGTGCGTGTGTGCGTGCGAGAGTGCGTGCGTGCATGCTTGCGTGCGTGCAGGCGTGCGTGCGTGCATGCGGGCGTGCGTGCGTGCGTGAGTGAGTGCGGGTGTGAGTGCGTGAGTGCGTGCGAGCATGTGTGCATGAGTGAGTGCGTGCCTGCATGCGTGCGTGACTGCGTGCGTGCGTGCGTCCGTGCAGGCGTGCGTGCATGCGTGAGTGCGTGCAGGCGTGCGTGCAGGCGTGCGAGCGAGCGTGCGTGCGTGAGTGCGTGCGGGTGTGAGTGCGTGAGTGCGTGCGAGCGTGTGTGCATGAGTGAGTGCGTGCCTGTCTGTGTGCGTGCGAGCGAGCGTGCGTGCGTGCGTGCGTGACTGCGTGCGTGCGTGAGTGAGTGCGTGTGAGTGTGCATGAGTACGTGCAAGCGTGTGTGCGTGAGTGCGAGCGTGAGTGCGTGCGTGCGTGTGAGCGTGTGCGTGCGTGTGAGCGTGACTGCGTGCGTCGTGCGAGCGTGCGTGCGTGCGTGCGTGCGTGCATGCGTGCGTGCGTGACTGCGTGAGTGCATGCGTGCTTGCAAGCGTGTGTGCGCACGTGCATGCGAGCAAGCGTGCGTGCGTGCGTGACTGCGTGCGTGAGTTCGTGCGTGCGTGCGTGCCAGCATGCGTGCGTGCGGTGGCTTTTTGAGTTGTTGGGTGGGTGCGGTAGTCAGTTAGTCAGTTGGTCAGTGTAGTTGACTGTGTGTCAACCTGAAGTGTGTGGGCTAACCCACACGAAAAACACCCAAGCTCATTTCACTGCCTAGGGATCATGATGGTCACACTGCAAAAGGTGAGTTTCGATTCTACCTTGTGGGTGTGATGGTTCACCCACAAACTGGTAAATGAAATCGACTAGTATCATGTTGGTCACTGTACAATCTGTTGGGTTCGTGGCTGAAACGGATGTCTTATCCAGAATAAACAGTACCTGAACAGTTTTATATAACGTTGTACACGTTTTTACCTTGCACGACAAATTTATCTGAAGAGTTTATAACTTGTTGTGTTAATTATCAAACCCCTCCCCCCCAGATCTTCAACCTAAAACTGTTCAACATTAGAACGGACATTGTGAGACGACTATCATGAGGAGGCCAGCTGCCGTGCATATTCTGATTCTGATTCACTCGCACCACGCATGCCGCGCTCTGTTATTGCTAAAAAGAAGGGGGGAGGGCGAAAGCTTTGCCTTTGTCTACCCTTGGGAAGTATTTATGAGTAATTGACTAGTAACAGATAGCATTGTAGTAGCGTGTACATTTATGACCGTATGTCTGCAGTTGTGTTATGTGTTGACTGTCACATATTAGATATATATTGCTATGTGTAATGCTATTTTGACGTTGCATACTATCTATTATACTATTATACTATACTGTACATGTACGGATTATTAGATATTAGCTACATATTGTGTGTAATATTAGTTTGACGTTCCACGCTATTCTAATGCACAGGTAATTAAGCGAAATGTACTTGGCGGTGATTTAACGCAACGGCGTTGTTTGCTGGTTGTTTCAGAGTCACTAGGTTGTGATAAACCGACATACGCCACAGCGCCGACGCTGTTCATGCCAAAGCCTCACTCGCAGCACGTCACGCCCGCCAGCTCCACCAGCCAATCGCCACAGCCGTCTGGACGCCAGTCACTCAGCCCGCGTGTAGAGGTGCGAGACCCTAGCATTATAGAACGCGTGGGCGTGCGCGCCTCTCGCTGCCTTGTATGTTACGTACGCCGTTACGTGTGTTATGTATTTGTAATCCTTTTCTAGTTTGTTTATTTGTGATCGTTAATTTTGTCAGTTTGCTTAGGCTCTTTGTTTTGTTGATTATCTTGTCTGTGTTGGTTGCATGCATTCTTACATCCTTCTCGTTTGTAAACTGCGGTCTTGGTTATTTTAATACGCTTCTTTCTTCTTTGTTCTAATCTTAATTGTTTACGAATCTCTGTATCGGTTGTTAGTACCCCCTCCTTGACTTGCTTGCTTTGTTTAAACAGAGTGAACATCAGTAATGTGCTTTCATTGTGCATTAATGCACAAGCTTCAGTAGCACGCTATGTAGTTATGTAGTGATAAGACTCAGTGATGGAAGCACAGTCTTGAACTCCGTGTCCTTATTCACACGATTATTCTCCGAGAGACTTTCTTCCCGTGTAAACACCCTGTAAGCATGGTTGGGGGTTACCGCATCGACGCACAATCAGAGACGCGCACACCCCGTGTGCTAGTTCGCAGTAGCAGTAGTAGCAGTAGTAGTAGTAGCAGCAATAGCAGCAGCAGTAGCAGCAGCAGCAGCAGCAGTAGCAGCAGCAGCAGTAGCAGCAGCAGCAGTAGCAGC